GTAAGCGAAGCTTTTTATTTGTGTCCAGTCAAGGCAGAGCACTCTGACTCGGTTCGGTCCGGGTCGGATCGCCGCCTGCCCGGCTGGGCCCGGTTCGGCGGTACGGTCTGTGAGGAGGAGCCCGGTGCGAAGCGGCGCCGATGATGATGATGATGATGATGGTGGTGATCAACGGAGAGCTGAGTGTTGACTTGGCCCTGTCATCATGTTGATATGCCTGTGATTATACTGATTATACTTCTCAAAGCACAAATCTACGCACGTGTACGTTTTCGGGAGGACTGGCAGCGGCCGTTATTTCGAAAATAAACACAAATATTAGGGATATAGTTCATGTTGCATGCAATTCAGTTCAGTTGAATGCAATGCAATCGCTCCCAGTGAGCGTTTCAGCATTACACTGTAAACAAGGCGCATCTTCCTTCAGTCGGCATCCTATTCGCCAGTTTCTCGTTTGAATGTTCCCGTTCCACCTTAAATGGTGCAGCAGTTATATTCTGATACCCGGGGTGCCAGAATGTAACTGCTGCACTATTTAAGGTGGAACGGGAAATTCGAGCGAGAAGCTGGCGAATACCTCCTGCGGTCACTCGGCCTCGCAAAGCTAACCTATTCTGAATTTCTCAGCGTATTTTTGAGGGGAAAACGCCCTGAACTCACACAACAAACACGTGTTTATGAAAACAAAAAGAATGCATCATTACTTTTATCATTCTTTATAATTTTTTTCACCCATTGCCAACACCATCTAACCGCTTACCTCCCCACCTGCACTGCTGATCATAACGTCCTTAGCAAACTTCACCACTGTATGCTAGTGGCTTAGCTTAGCAAGTTAGCTAGCAGTTAGCACCTGGTTAACAGAGTCTGTTTGGGCTAACGTTAGTGTTTTCTTAGTGTCTGGGTAAGGTTAGATGGTTGGGGTAGACTAACGTTACCCAGCAGCATTTAGCGCTACATCTGGTTAGGATTTAGTAGCGTACTCATCTGTTAGGATCATGTGTTTGGTTAGTTAGCATTTAGCTTGTAGGCAGCCAGTTTGCTAACGCTAACTGATCTCATTTCTCCCGCGCTGCTGCTTCGTGAAACCAGAAGTGCAGCCAAAATACTTTCAAAATCGATTCCACGTTTAACTTTCCACCTTTTTAACACACATGAAACGTGTATTAATTTATAACCCCATCACTCTTTACGATAAAGACTTAAAAGCATTTTAATATTATGAAATGAAAAAGCGCCGGCTAATATTCGAGGCAGATTATCCACTAGCCGGTTAGCTACAGGTTAGCAACTTTGCACAGATGATGCTGACTTGTTTTAGGTGGTGTATTTTAATTTAAGTTGGCTTATTTTAGTGTTTTAGGTTGATGGTGCGGCACTTAAGTTTAGTTCGCTTACTTAGTGCGGCTTACTGCCGGTTACTTTCCATCTTCAGATGGTGTTAGTCTGATTAGCACTACTTTGGCTAACGTTAAAGGGGAATTCCACCGATGTCTCAGAATTTCTTCCAGAATTTAATGGTTCAGCTCTAAACAGAGTGATTTCAGAGTAGTTTGGTGTAAAACGGTTAATTGTAGAGGATCAGATTTCTTTACAGTGGTGGTGATAGGAACCCGGGGACCTGATGTCTACAACACAAATATAAGTTAGCTATTGTATTTAGTATCCAAAACCACCAGTGAACCTACACGTGTCTTTTGAGCGTTTATATGTGATGTTGATGATGGTAAAATAGTGGAAAAATATGTTTTATTTGGCCTCAGGCAGCCCTGCATGTATCCTTCTACTATGACTGGATTTAAAAAATATGTTTAAGGCCAGAACTCCTCAGAACTATTACAAAACAATGTCTAAGACATCAGATTGCCATTTCATGTAATAGCTTTCTGTGAGGGAGCTTTTGAGGGTGGTTGTCTGGTTCCTGTCAGCACCACTGTGAACAATTCTGACTTGGTTTCTCTTAAAGTGAGTGATTCGCACCAAACATCTCTGAATGACTTTGTTCACATCTTCACCATTTAATTTTGCAGAAATTTTGAAAAGTAGGTGGAGTACCCCTTTAGCAAGTGGATTGTTAAGGAGCTCACTTCACACAACTTTAATTTTAATAAATCAAGAGTTTATTCAAAGGGAAGGTGGCTGCTTTCTGTACTTTTTTATTATTAGTTAGTTGCAACTTGATTAGCCAGATGTTGAAATTATTTAAAAACGTACGCTAATGTTCTGTGTACTTAGTCCTACGTTTGTGTACTAGATATGTCTCTGAAGTATTTGGAAGTGTTTGAAGTCTCTTTGCACCCTCCCTTTTCATCAGTTAGTCATCTAGAAGCCATCAGAAAGCTTGGTCTGTAGCAAGCATTTGTATTTTGAGAGGCATAAGCCTTAATTCTTTTACAGTAAATTAACTATACAAAAAGTTCCACCACTTCTAAACCCAGGCACAGTTTTAACAGTAATTGCCATGTCTTTCACATAACCGGTTCTAAGTTACAGCAGTCAGATAGTTGGCCTGCTGAAGATGGGACATGCTCCATCACTGCTGGGTTAAACCTGACTCTTAGATGTACAGTAAACATGAGCTTTCCTAATGTCGCTGTCCCGTTTCTTATTACCTCACGGGCGATAAGCACGCCATCCCATTTGCAGTAATAGATTATTCATTACCATCCCTGCAAGAGACATGACCACCAGGCCTACAGGCTGGTTTGACTTTTAAAGGGGAATCCCACCAATTCTTAAAAATACTTACCGACTATTTACAGTGGTGGTGATAGGAACCGGGGGTCACAGCACAAATATAGCCATATTATTTACTGTCCAAAACCACCAGTGAACCTACACCTGTCTTCTAAGTTTTCTATGGGATGTTGATGATAGTAAAACAGTTAAAAATCGGAATACTAAGATTTTGTTGGGGACTGTTTTGCCTCACAGCACCCTGCATGTATCCCTCCACCATGAAGAGTGTCTCAGACATCAGGCAGTGTATTCATAACCATTTCATTTCATGTAATAACTTTCTGTGAGGGAGCTTTTAGATGTGGACCTCTGGTTCCTATCACCACCACTGTGAACAATTTTGACGCAGTAAGTTTCTCTAGAATGGAGCGTTTCACACCAAACCACTCTGAACGACTCTGTTCAAGCCTTAATTGTGCAGAAATTTTTGAAAAGTGGGTGGATTTCCCCTTTAAGCCTGCCTTTTGCTTGTTATTTTGTGTTGAAACTTTCTCCTTATGTTGCAGCAGGTTTACCAGGGAAGTATTTCTGCCTACACAAGTTCTAAAGGGTCTGTTTGGAAGTCAAGTTACATAAGTCACCGGTATATAACACGATTTATTATGATGATTACTTGACTACAAAACTTATTTTAAGAAGTCATTGTTTACTTTGTGGTCATTCCATAGTTACATAGATGTGACTTTATTACAGTTGTATTATTTTATATACAGTTTTAAGCAACCAAAAGGCCTATTATGGCTACTTATGACAATAAAACATTAAAATAGTCATCTGTATTTCAGTGTAACCTTAGAGTTGTCTTCATTTTAGTGTGTTTTCAGTCTAATAAGTTGTGAGCTTATTAAAGCGTTTTTCTTGCTAATATTGGTGGGGTAAAAATGTGCTCTTATCTCATTCGTGCAGTTCCCTTCGAATGCAGCTTGAAGTTTTATCTTGTAGGGTACGAGGTGCATCTGGATCTGTGGGGTTCCTCCCTGTTCCTCACACGTGCTTCTTTGATTCCTCCATATCAGGCACTCTCATCAACCACATATGAAGGCTGGTGGGTTCGCAGTCATGGTGTTCAACGCATGTTGCGGTTTTGTGTGCTAGAAAGTGCTTCTTGCTACTTTTACATGAGCTGAATGTCATTATAAAAAAAAAATCAACACGAATTACAGCAGTGGGTGCCAGTTACTACTAATAGTGAAGTCGTTGTAAATGGGGAAGTCCACCATTTTTTCAAAATTTGTGCGTGATTGTGCGTGATTTGTTGTAAACAAAACATTTTATCATAAAAACAGGAGAAAATGGTAATTAGTTAACAATGGATGTGGTATTAGGCTATAAAAGTCATGTCATTTTCCAGGTAATGTGAACGCAGCCACACCTTCCCTCCTCAACTGAGCGGCTGAAGCAAGATAAGTCAGTGAAAGAGATTAAAATGATCATGTTTAAACAACAGGAAATGTTCAGGGTCCAGCTGCCCCAGCCATACGTAAGTTGAAACATAGGCTAGTTGTAACGTAAGTGTTTGCTAAGTTCAGGTTTACACATTAGTCAATTAAAACAAGTTGCACCACACAAACTAGTTTTAGCATTGAGCTTAGTAGTTACTCAGTATTTACACTTCCACCCGAGCAGGCGTAGGTGTTGGGGAAACCAACGGAAGCTGTGTAGAAAGCAGGTTTTAGTTAACCAAGCTACAAATTCTAGATGCTATATATTGTATTTTTACTTACAGCTCTTATTATTGCCCTTGTTTTATCTCCAAACATGAAGCTGGGAATCCACAGCTTCTTTTCAGTATGACTTAGGCCCAATTCTGTTTCTTATTTTAGCCCTACCCCTTGTTTTTGAGTATCCCCTTGCCCCTTGCAAGTGAGTTACAGGGTAGTGGTTGAAATCTTCTTTTATGAAATGGAACAACCCTCAAATAAAAAAGAACATTACTTCATTAACTGGCTACTAGTGGTGCTCTGTAGGCAACCCTGCCAGTCTGCAGTGATGGCAGAGGAGGGTAAAGTTCAGCAACCTCACTGCTGGGCTTTAGTTTTATTTAGGGAATCATATGCCTTCAAGGCAGGGGCAATTGTTTATCACCCACCTCTAATTCTTCAGTGATATGAAGCTGAAGTCGGCTATTCGCCAGATTCTTGTTCGAATTTTCCTGTTCCACCTTAAATGGTTAATTTAAGGTGGAATGGGAAATTCAGCTAGCTAGCTACCGAGACATCATCGTAGTACTATCAATTTTTTTTTGTTCAATCAATGCTTGT